GGAAGAGCTCCTCCTCCCAGCAGTGTTGTTTAGAGAAGATAAATGGATGGTGGGTTCTGGGAAAGGAGTTGGGGGGAGGGGAGAGGTAAGGATGAGAGGGGAGTATTGCTGGGGAAGGGGAAGTGGGAGACATAGTCAAAGAGGTGAGTAAACAATCCAAGAGACGAGGGAAGGAATAGAATTGGTCTCCTCTGTCTGCAGTAGTAATTAGAATAGGATGTGGGGGTCTCTGCCTGGAACTGTTGCCCTTGAGTGTCATATTGAGATTAGAAGACATGGTTGGAGTGAGTGTCCCTTAAAAAAGGAGAGGTTACCCATTCAAAAGGTAAAGAAGAAGCAGATACACAATGAACCCTGAGGCCCAGGGCCTGGGGCATGTCCTTCAGTGCACCATGTACACAGGAGCCTTCCCAAGGTTGGCAGGGCAAAAGTGCTGAGCAAGAGAGAGCACCATTATCAGACTGTGTAGGGGGGCAGGAAGAAGAAGAAGGGGTGATAGGTGGAGGGGTGGGGAAGGGCAGAGCTGGGGTGGGCATTTTCCTCCCCTTTCTGTGGAGGGCTGAACTTAGTGCTGGGAGGGAGCTAGGATGTGTAGGAACAACAGCATACCTCTGGGGGGCTAGAGGCAGGTCCCTCTTCATCTTTGATTCTGGAACTCTCCTCACTGACCACCTCACCTAGTGTTTGGGAAGAATCTATTCCTGCCTTATTCCTGTTTCTCCTTGCTACAGAGGCTCAAATAGAAATGAGGAAGAAGAAAACAGATCTGCCTATTTTTTAAGAGACAGAGGAATGGTTTTTTATTCCTTTTGATTCAAATGTTGCAGTTGCTGATTTACATAGCCATATATATATATGACTTTTCCTGCATTCACTGCGTATGAAAAGGCAAAGAATTATTTTTTTTTGGATCCTACTCACTTCTTTTGCTTAGTCCAGTTGGCTTGGCCCTGCTGAATTCATAGAAATAATTACCTGCCCTGAGGCAGTGGCTAGAGGCAGAGGCTACTGAATCTGATCACTTCACTATTTGTCAACTGAGTGGCCTTAGGTAAGTTACAAAATGTCTCAGAGGCTCTTTCCTGACTTCCAAAATGGGGATTAAATGAGGTAATATGTGCAAAGTGCTTAGCACAGGGCTTGACATGTAACAAGCAGCAAGCAGGGGTAATCCTTAAAGCTATTAGGATTTGGGAGCTGAAGGAGACTTTATTCATTAGGTTAAGTTCTAGCTGTGGCTGAAGAAAATGAGACTCTCAGAGGTGAAGTGATGTGCCCAGCTGGGCTCCTGCTTTGCTGACCTGGGCACCTTCCACCTCCCCTTCCCCTCCCAGAAGTTCCTAGTTCCTATGGAACTGTCAGGCACACACCAGCAACCTTGGCTTTGGAAGGCACCAACTAGGCCCCATGACCAATGAACCCCTTCCCAGATCCTTTTAATCTACCAGTTCCACCTGTGGCCACACTGGCCACCTGGCAGCTCTGTCCTGAAAATTCAGCTGGCGGGAGAGGGAGCTGATTCTGGGGAGGAGCATGGAGTGTCGGGGGTGGCTTTGCCTGTTATTCCAGCTTTCCATTCTGGATCCAGCTGGGGCGGGCGGTGACAGCAGGTCGGGTCTAGCGTGGTTGGAGGCAGATATCCCTTCCTCCACTCAACCTTCCCACTCCTTCACAGCTGCGGGGCCAAGGAGGAAAGGGAGGTCAGGGATGGTTTTTTATGACTGTCACCCACTTTTGAGAAGAAGCCTCACTATTCCCTGAGGATATCCCAAGAAAGACTTGAGCTCTAGGGAAAAAAAATCCCAAAGGAGTCATTTCTGATTTCAGGTGAGGAATAAGATGTCAGGGAGCACCCTAGACCTGTGTTGGGTGTTGGGCCCCCCCACAACCATACCTATCTCTTTGTAACTCCTTTTTTTTTTTTTTTTTTTTTGGAGGGGGAGGGTGGGTCTTCTACCAAAATGTAACTCCTTTTAACTGTGTTTAAATCGACTGTGGGCATCTTGAGCACAAACTGAAGCCCAGGAAATGAAGCTAACCTTGGGAAACATGGTGAGGGGAGCCATTTATAAGCCTGGGCTTTGGTGTCTGGAATTTAAGTTTATGCTCCTGGGGGCGAATCTGGTTAGGACAGTGATTGGTGAAGCCTCACTCATATTCTGTCTACTTCTGTGAGCTGAATGGGTGATGGCAGGGAGAGTGAATGTACAGAACTGAACTATCATTACGTGAAACCTTGGTCATCTGGTGTCCTAGAAGAAAAATATAACGAAAGCACTGGAAGTCTTCATGAAAAAAAAAATCAAGGCACATTCTTAGAAGCCAGAGGGCCAGATCAAAAGAGAAATGTCCTTCTAACTTCATGGTAATCATCCCCATCCTGACTCACGATACTACTGTAAGTAATGGTAAGCAACAAAGGGGCTCGGAGGCTGAATTCCTCTCCATTCCATAGCCTTTCCTCTGCATTCTATACCATCAACTCCCTCACCCCTTCTACTTTCAGCTAGGGCAGGCTGTCAGAGACACAGAAACCTAGTTTGGGGCATAGAGGTGGGCCTGATTATTATTAGGTTGAACTATATGAAACTGTTATTATGTGACTGCTTTTGGCCTGCAAAACAACGATCTCACATTAACTTAATGTTATTTTTAAGGCAATCATAAGAGCTACTATTTATTGAGCAGCTAGGTTGTACAAGAGACTTTATGCATATCATGCTGTTTATTCTTCCCCACAACCCATACAAGTGGATATTATTATCCTAATATTTTAGAGGAAGGAGCTAAGAAAAGATTAGATAACTTGCCCGAGGCTACACACCTATAGCAAATGGTAGAGCCTTGGTTGGTTGACTGGGCTGCATTTGTTTATCCTACAAAGTAGGAGTAAAAATATATTCTGGACTCTGAAATACAGTGGTCTGAATCTTGGGTCCACTGGTAACTGTATGACCCAGGTAGGTTTTTAAACAGTCTAATCATTAGGTTTATTAAGTGTAACAATAAAAAGGTACGTCACCGCTTTATTTTGGGGGGACTAAGTAAAACACTGTTATTGCAGCTGGAACAAGGTAAGTGCTTAAATGGTAGTTATCACTGTAATTCCTTTCTTCCTCATGAGTACACCCTGGAAAGGGCTTCTTACTCCTGCTGGCCTTTTCATTTTCTTTTTTTATTTTCTTTTCTCTTTCCTTTCCTTTCCCCTCCCTCCCTTCCTTCTTCCCTTCTTTTCTTTTTTCTTTATTTGCTTGGAGTGAAGCCTTTTCTCTGTCACTTCTTCCAAATCATCTCCTATCTTCTGTGTTCAAACTCATCCTTGGGCAGTGGAAACTGAAGAGTCAATGGGAAAACAATTTCTGGGGCTCTAGCCTTAAGTAGGGTAGGCTGGCTCACTGACTAGTATCCCCATCCTCGCCCTAATTCTAGCTGTGAGCTTCTTGCAGTTCTACTGGGGAGAGGGCTGGGGAACTGAGGCTTCACCTTCTCCACGGAAAACCCTGGACTCAGACTGGGTCCTTCTGAGCTGGAGGTACCCTCTGAGAGCGAGGGAAAGGTGGCCACTCAAGGAGTGCCTGCTGCTGTTTTCCTTGCTCCTCCTTTCCACCCTCCAAGCAGCTCTGCAGACCCCTAACTGGATGCTGGTGATGGACCTGGCTCTCCTACACCCAATCCTACCTGCACTTCTCTTTCCTGAATTGAGACACGTCTGTCCACCTGGCCCTGAACCTTCCTCTTCACCTGTCGCTGCCCCCACCCCAGTGCGTGTCCTTGCCACAGCCCTGCGCCAGGCGAGGCACCCATCTCTGCACCTCCCATCCCCGCGTCGCCATAGTCTGAATCTCTCAGGCCTCTCTATTCCTACCCCACTCCCGCGGAGTCAAGACCCAGTGACCCCACAAGAACCCTCCTGCTCCGCCCCCAGGAGAACGCCTGCTCCAAGCCAGACGACGACATTCTAGACATCCCGCTGGACGATCCCGGCGCAAACGCGGCTGCCGCCAAAATCCAGGCGAGTTTTCGGGGCCACATGGCTCGGAAGAAGATAAAGAGCGGAGAGCGTGGCCGGAAGGGCCCGGGCCCCGGGGGGCCTGGCGGAGCTGGGGTCGCCCGGGGAGGCGCGGGCGGCGGCCCCAGCGGAGACTAGGCCAGGTGAGACAGCTCGCAGCGAACTCACAGCCGCAGCCCTCCCCAGAAGGAGCAGGGGGAGAATAAGGGCCGGCTAGGGGGGTGCAGGGGGGCATGGCGGGAGCTAAAGATTGAGGGATAGAAATCCGAGTCGGGAGGTGGGTGGGTGGGAAGAGGCTGAGGGTTGAGCGGATTCCAGGAGCTCACTTGTTTCTCCCTCTGCATCCTTTCTGCCCTGCCCTGGACGGAAGAAGAACTGAGCATTTTCAAAGGTAATGAACACGGCCCCGAGGCGACGGGGTAGGAGAAAAGGATTGAATCCCCATGCCTTCCCTCTGCCCACCCTCACCCCTCCCAGCCAGGGAAGATGTACCCTGCGCCTTTGGGTTTTCTGATACATCCAGACTCCCAAGGCTGCGACAGGGACACATCGAGACGCCCAAGGCTGCAACAGGGACATACCTGGACCCAGACATGCTCAGTCACTCCATTTGGCTGCACAAGCCCGGCCAAGGGGCAGAAAACACATCAGGGCGCGCACACACACCTGCCGCGGGGCTCATTTCAGCGCCATGACTTGGGCTCGGGGTTCTGGGTGGTTGGGGCCTCTTGGCACTCCCCACCCAAGGAATCTTGGTACAGAAAGGGGGAAGGGAGTGGGGAGAGGAAGTAGCAAGAGAGGATGGGTTCTCAGACCTTCTCTCTCCTCAGTTCCCGAGGAGAGATGGATGCCGCGTCCCCTTCGCTGCGACGAGACTTCCCTGCCGTGTTTGTGACCCCCTCCTGCCCAGCAACCTGCCAGCTACAGGAGCCCCCTGCGTCCCAGAGACTCCCTCTCCCAGGCTCCCTCGCGGAGTCGCTGAGTCCGTGCCCTTTTAGTTAGTTCTACAGTCTAGTATGGTCCCCATTTGCCCTTCCACCCCAACCCACCGTAAACCCTGCGCTCCCAAATCCTTCTTTTGCTTCTCGCCCACCTCTCCCCGCACCCAGCATGCAGCTCTGCCTCCGCAGCCTCTGCGCTTTCCTGCGCGCACTGCGGAGGGCGCCCTAAGCGTCACCCAAGTACACTTACTTAAAGAAAAAACAAGTCCTTTCGTTCTGTGCGCAGCTAAAAGGGGCGCCCTACATCTCCGTGCCCCAAGCCTAGCCCCAGGACTTTGGATCTGGGGCGAGATGAAGAGAAGAGGGTTTTAATGGTGTCGACGCCCCTTACTCTGATCGGAAGAGAAGTCCCTATCCCACACCTGCCTGTCACGTTCTCTCCCCTTTCCCCAGCGCACTGTGGAGGGCAGCCTCTCCAGCTCTCTTGTTTATGCAAACGCCGAGCGCCTGGGAGGCTTGGTAGGAGGAGTCTTCCGCGGCCTCGCCCCGCCCCTGTCGGCCCCGTCCCCGCTCCCCGCTGGGCTCCTGGGGCTGTGGCCGAAAGGTTTTTTATCTCCGTGTGTGCATGTGACTGTGCTGGGTTGGAATGTGAACAATAAAGAGGAATGTCCAAGTGTCCAGAGGGTGCCAGGGGAGGGAGTTTGGGTGCACAGGCCTCGGCTTGGAGCTTGAACAAGTCTCCTTTGGCCAAACCAAAAATCAGGGTTGGTGGGCTGAGGTGGAGAGGCACCTAGGTTGAAACCTACCCCTTTTACCCAACCAAACTTCCTGCCAACCTACAGCATCATTTCTTGGACTTCAAGCTCATTCCTTCCCTTACTGTTAATACTCTTTGAGCCGCCTAGAGGAATTCGCTATACCAGCAGAAAGAAGGAGACAGTATGGTACCCGCAGACTTTAATTACTGATATTCCCCTTCGCCGCCCTCAGGGATGAGAAGTTACACAACCATAGGGAGCTTGGACTTGTTGGTCGTCACGGTGCTGGCAGATGAGGGTCTTTCCAGGAGCCCTTTGCTAGAATCAGCCCTCGAAGTGTGCTCAGAGATCCCAGGAGCGACCGCATCCTCCCTGATGGGTATAGGCAAGTTCTTAGTGAAGAGCTGAAGTCTCCTGCAGAAGAGGGCTGTCCTCTAACCTGAATGACTCACTGTACATGAAAATCATCTGTGGAACTTTGGTTAAAATGAAGTTTCTGGGCCTCATCACTCCCCAACACAGAACTCTAGGAAGGCTAGGAAGTGGCCTGAATATGAATGTGCAACTAGTTCCCCATGATTTCTGTCCAGGTAATCTGAGGACTCCACTTGGAGAAATATTGCTCTAAGCCCTATCCTAGACCCTGACTAAAGTAAATGACAGAGGCAGCTTCCCCTCCCCTTTCCTGATTTCTTCCACAGAAGAACTGAACTCAGCTGACTGCTCAGGACAAATCCAGCTTCTGGCATCTATCAGCCACTACTACTCCCAGGTGGTTAAAATATATGAAAATGCCTTCAGAACAGAAAAGTAAACTTTATTAAATAGGAGGGACTGGGCAGTCCTGCAAACTGAACTTCCCTGCCGCGGCTTCAGGACCAGCCACCCCACCCTGTACTGCTTGCCTTCGCCCTCAAATACACAGGTTATACTGCTGCCACCAGAAAATCCCAGAGCTGAACAACACCCACCCATAAACACGTTTAAAGATGTGAGAGTTTGAGGGCTGCAGGCACCCACTTTGAACCCAAGCCCTTTCCTCCCTCCTTGCACCACCCCCTAGCCCTCCTGCTCACCGAAGGTCACTACCCCCATATGTCTCCTTGGGATTCTTCCCCCTCTCTTTCTGGAACTTGATCAGGCTGAACGCAGTAACTGACAGCAACAGCACGCCCAGGAGCACCCCAATTAGAGCCCCAGCCACTCGGCCTTGTGAGGGTTCTAAGGAGACACGGGACCCACAGAGTTGCAGACATTCCTTGGCCCACCAGTGGACAGCTTCATGCAGCCTCCCCAACACAAGCCTGCTGGCCCGGCCTCCACCCAGCATCCCTACCGGTCACAGAGAGGGTCAGCTCACAGGATGCACTGCCCATCTGGTTGGTGGCCACACAGCGGTAGGTGCCCGAGGAGGTCAGGGAGAGGTTGGTGAGAATGAGCTGGCCAGACACCTCATCTAGAGGATGAAGAGGGAGTGTTCCACCACTCATTCAACTCTGAGCACCTCTATGAGGAGAGCACGTTTCATTTCATCCTTATAACAAACCTGTCGGGGAGGAACTAATTTTTTTTTTTTTTATTGGTGGGGAAACTGGTTCAGAAAAAGGAAGTAATGTGTCTGAAGTGACCCAGCGTGGAATTTCAAAGCTGCTGCGACTTACCTGTTCTTTCCACGCTACATAGATGCCTTTTGGGGAGGAGGAGGGCTGCACACTCATGAAGGATTCAGACACTGGCAATGGAGTTGGGGTGGGGTGCTGACTGGCTGATGTCAGGCTCCTGGTTTGGTGTAAAAAGCTTGATTGCTAGAAACTGCATCCTGTAGGGTGGCTCTAAGCTGACACATGCTTTTCTAAACTGCTTGCCTTAGAAGGCAGAGCATACACCAGGAGGTGATCTGGGGGTGGGGTGGGGATCATTCATTTCTGGATTGATAAAGAGGTGTTCTGGGGCTGGAGGGAGAATAACTGGATCCAGGAAGAGGAAGCTGAGAAACTACGGCTCCTATGTATATGGTTCCTCCAAAGAAAATGGTTAAAAGATTCAAGCCAATCCATGCTATTCTGCCTCAGTTTCCTCTCCAGGAAGTCTGGAAATGATCCATGACCCTTAGGAAACCTAAAATAAATCTCCCCAAAGCAGATGAATGGGCACCATCAGAATGCTCCCTGCCTTCTACTCTCTTCCAGGATATCAGGAATATATTTAGCTTGAGAAATACTCCCAGGATCCCCCGGCCACAGACTGTGCAGGAAGACAGGCAGGAGGGAATACAGGAAGCCAAGGAAGAGGAGGCAGGGAAAGGTATAGTGGTTTGTCTCATACCCCTAGTCATGGAACTGGTAATATGGCTGTGTGGGATTTAGAGACCAGATTTGCCCAGGTGTCCAGTCCCCTCTTCCTGATGCCCTTGGCCCTTACCTTGAACCATGCTGCCAGGAGAAGGTGTAGGAGAAGATCCAAGACGCACCCAGTTGTATACTGGCCTGGGAGCCCCCTCGGAAGAGCTGCATCTCAGTGCAGTAGAGCCTCCCACAGTGGTTTGTCCATTCTGACTGCATGAGGGATTACTGGGGGGAACTGCAAAAACCATAGAAAGTTCCTCAGAAATCCTCCGACCCCACTCCTAGCTCCATTAGGTGCTACATTCTCTACTTCAATACCCCTGTCAAACAGTGGACATTGTGTTCACACACCCCTGCATCCCCAGGAACTGAGGGATTTCCACATTGGAAATTCTGATTGTTAGAGAAAATTATTCCTCATGTTGAGCCAAAATGTGTGTAACATAATATCCACCCATTGGTTTCAGTTACTGCCCTCTGGACCCACAAAGAAATTAAAATCTCTCCTCCACATGACAGCCCTTCGGGGGTTGAATCCAGCAGCTGTATATACACCACATCCTAGGTCTTCTCTTTTTCTTCTAAACACTGCCAGCCTCTTTGACAGTTTTTCTGGTTGCTCATCTCTGAGCAGTCTCTACTTTGGGGTGAGACAGAAGCTCTGAGCATGAGGTTGGTGCCCAGTAATAGAGGCCCTTGTTCCTTTGACAGCCACTCCCCTTCTCTGCCACTGACCTTGGGAAGGACAGAATCCAACTACCAATGAGAGGTTACCCCATGATGGAGCTGCTGGGGACAGACTCAGATCCCCATGTATGGGAAAGGCTTTCTCTCACACACTCTGTTATCAGGCTCTGATGGAGGAGATGCCCTCGGTGGAGGGTGGAGTTGGAGTATGACCATCTGGACTAGAAGACTTGGAAGGGGAGTACTTTCCCTTGGGGCCCCCAGCACAGTTGTGTACTTGGGCTAAAAGTCAAAAATGGGAGATTTAGCAGGACCAGTGCAAACTCTGAGTATGTGAAAGAGTAGGTGGCTGGTGGATCCCCAGCCTGCCTTACCCAGCACAGTAAGGTTGATTAACCCCAGCCCATTGGTGTAGAAATCTGGTGGGTTGTTGACTTGGCAGAGGTAGGTTCCAGTATCTGAGGGGTGGATGTCAGTCAGTTTCAGCGTGGCCACCCCCCTTGTGGGGGGGTTCTGAAGCAGGGTGACCCTCTTTGACTTAGAACCAGTTGGATACAGATGGCCATTGGTGAAGTACAGGATCTAGGGAGAGGCAGAAGACACACATATGTGCCTTTTTCTGCCTGACCAACTCTACAGTCCTTCATCCTCAAATTAGGTATGAGGCTCCTGACTTACATCAGCCAGGGAGGCTGATACCCTATGGCTGGAACCTCAAAGGTCTCTCTCCCAAACCACCCCTTTTCAGGTGCGACATGAACCAGATTCATTGTGTACTCTCTCTCCCTCTTCCTTCTCTCTCCCTCCTCCCTCCCTCTCCCTCTCCTTTCTCTCCTCTCTCTCTCTCTGTGTCTCTCTCTTTCTCTCAAAGAGCCAGAAGAGGCATGTATCATCTTGGTATCAGTCACAACACCTTAGTGTCAATGGATATATTAACTGAAACTCCGACTGCACTAAGGCAGGGGAGGTGGAAATAGGGGCTATGGGGGAGGAAGGGAAGATACAGGGTGACGCAGACTGCAGCCCTGAGAAGACCTAGGCAGAGCCCACTTACCTTTTCATCCAGGCATACTGATCCCCAAATGCCCCCTCCCGACCCCGTGCCCTCATCCTGGGTTCCTGTCTCTCCAAGCCAACCCAGCTTCATGCAGTTGCTCTCAGCTCACTGGATGGGACTCAGAGATGGGCTTCCCAGGCTGCACAAAGCTCCACTCCAGGGCAAAGCTGTCTCCCACGGACGTGCTGTAGGTGCAGGTCAGCTCGGCTGTCTTCCCCACTGGCGTGCTCAGCGGCTCAGTGGATACCTTCACCTCCACCGCCAGTCCTGTGGCCAGGAACCAAAGGGAGGTAGGAACCCAAATTCCAGTAATCTGGAGGGTTGGGGCCACTCCGGTCATCTACGTTGAAAGCTGAGGGCTCCTTTCCCAGAGCACAACCCTCTCCCCTCAATTCAACCCCTCCCTTCCCAAAACCTGTGGTTTCCGGGAGGGGCCGGGTCTTTGTGGGTAAAAGGGCCAAGACTGGGCCAGGTAAGAGGGTGTGTGTATTTAGCAGAGAGAGAAAAACACTACCCCTGCGGTGAGTGGTTCAGGCCTGTACCACGGAGAGGCTGAACTCCGCCAGCTTGGGGGGCCTCTCTCCTCTGCCCTCTTGGCTTTCAACACCCCCTCCCGGCCTCAGCCCAGGCAACTTAGGGCCCGTCTAGCCCACGGCAGCCTTAGCTGGCCTGGCAGGGACAGAGTGGGTCCCCAGGAGCCGGGAAGCCGGGCCTGTGCCCCCCAGCTCTCGCTGTGATCCCGCCCAGCCCCTCCTCACCACTCAGGCACAGATAACCTAGCAGGGCCCCGCAAAGAAAGGGCCCCGGGAGCCCGGCCATGGCCGCGTCCAACCGTCCTGCTCCTGCTCCTGCCAGGCCGGCGGTCAAGGTCAGTCTGGGTGTCGGGGAGGGAAGGGAGCACCCAAGGGTAGCTGCCTGGACTGGGCAGGAGCAAGACTGGTATCTCAGAGCAAACAGGGGAGAGGCCGGCACTGCAGATTTAAAAAAAAAGTGTTCCTCCCTCCTCCTCTCCAGCCCCAATTCTGCAAACCCTCTGTCCCTGCTCCCTCCTTCCTTCCTCTTCTCCCCAAGGTCGGAGGGTGTGAGGCCTTGGGAAAAGGGCGGGGCTTGGGGTGGGCCTTCTATGGAGACAGACTTGGCACTGGAGTTCCAGAAGGAAAGCTGACTTTGGAAGATGGAGTTGTCCTGATACCCCAGAGCTGGCAGGTGGCGTCCCCATCTCGGAACCTCAGTGACTGTGAGCCCCAGGCCGCAGACCCTTTCCGTCCATGCCACTTTTCATTTCACCACTGGGGGTGGTAGGAGTCTCAGTAGAAATGAGCGTCTCTCCCTTCCCAGAGCCACTCCATTTTAGGGGCAGAGAAACTGAAACCAAAAGGAGACCCCACCCTTGGTAGGAAACAACGTGGCAAAATTTGGACAAAGACCTGCACCCCATACGATACCCGGCTCTCCTTCAGTAAGGAGGAAGATCTCTTCCAAATGGGCAAGAAGGTATCTTTGTTAAGGATGCTGTGGTGTGGGAGAGGAGCCCAAGTGAGCTTCCTCTGCCCTGTCCCTGAAAAGGAAGCAGGTGAGGCACACGTACCCCTCAGCACCCCTCAAGCTGTAGCTCCAAAGCATACTAACTCCACCCCCTACTGCTTAGAGTAGCTTAGGGTCTCCTCCCCTTCTCCAGGGGACAAACAAGGACCCTTCTAAACACCAGAAGAGCTGCTCTGATCCTGTGGGGAGAAGCCCTCCTGGGTACACAGCTTGGGAAGGGGTCTGCTTTGCATTATCCGGAAGCTCAACTTCTAGAATTCTTAGTTTGAAAAGGCAACTTGATTCTTATCCCATACAAACACAATGCATCTTTATTGAAATTTGCAAATGAAAACACACACATTTCATGTTAGTTTTAAAAATACATTCCCTATCCTCTGTTCCAGTAAAACCTAGTCAAGCCAGCCGGACAGGTTATATCAATGCAGGGAGCTGGAGTGGGAGCAAAGGGTGGTGTTAGATAGGGGTGGGGTACAGATCAAGGAGGCCTGGGAGACTAGATGACTGGCAGTCTCTGCCAGGGCCCTTGGTGAGTAGCTAATTTCAGCATCTGGCTTCACAGGGAGAAGTGATGGTGTAGGGGGCAGTGGAGGCTCCTCCCAATTCCAGATCCACTTCTCCCTCTTCTGCAATCTCCTGGACACTTGGGTCTTACTCAGACGGTTTTGCCACAGTAAAGAGAGGTAGGGATAGAGGACTAAGGGTCTGGAGTGTGACTACTCTTCCATGACTCAGGCCTCTGTGCTAGAGGTGACCCCTATAGGAAGGAGAGACCCCAAATCCTTTAGCCAATGACTGGCTGAGTCATCACACCAGAGATCCAGCTTGACTCTGGGCAGGCACCATCACTGGCACAGCACCCATGCGGCCCAGGGCAGAGGAAGAAACCCCACCAGGAATGGAGGATACTGCTTGAGGGTGGCCCCCATCTGTTGTGGGCAGTTTTGGTGAGGGCAGGACCCTGCTGGAGAGACTGGGCGTGGGGGTCAATGCACCAGGCCTGGGAGGGCCATGGGGTGGCCGGAGGGCTCGTGCAGAGGTGACAGAGGAAAGGGTCCCATTCCTGGAGATTGTGTCTGAGCTCTTGGCCCAGGGCAGGGTCCGGGGAGCAATGGCATCCTCCCTAGTCATCAAAGAAGCAACAAGAGGTCAGAAGTGAGACAGGGAAGGAGGAGAGAGTGGTCTTATATTCTGTCTTTCCCTGCACACTTCAGTACTCCTTTCCCTCTCCCTTAAAACCTGCCCACAGGAATGTTTCAGCCACTGCCCACCTCCTTCCAATAGATGAGAGCTGCCTGAATTCTCAGACTCTGTGAGGAGAGCTGGGAGAGACCCCACTGCAGCAGAGACCAGGAACACTTACTTGATATCATTGGCTGGCTCCTCCAGGGCCTTGCCCCGGCGATGGTACAAGAGGACCAGCCCAGCCAGCAACCCCAGTCCAACCAGGGTACCCACAACAGCTCCAGAAACCACTGCAGCTCCAGGCCCTGGAAAAGGCATCGTGTCAGAGGGGAACACCCAGCTGAGGCGTTCCCACATCTCTCCAATCCCACTCCCCCGACCCCACCTGCCACCATATACATTCTCTCTTTTTCCCTGTCAAGGAGAGGGATGGCTGTCAAGCAGGAAATGGCCAGTCACTGACCAAATATTTGTATAAACATTTGACCAGGGCAAGCTCCAGGCCCTGTTGCAATGAGAGGCCTCAGCAGACAGGCTTCCTCCCCTCTTGCAACCTCTCTCCCACTGTTGACCACTCTTCTTAACCACACTTACCCCTCACTGACCTGTGCTCACGTCCAGGGTCACATTGCACTGGGCAGTGCCCACCTCATTGTGGGCCTTGCAGACATAGACTCCAGACATGGAAGAGGAAAGGTTGGTGAGGCTTAAAGACCCACGGATGATATCTGTGGACACAATTTATCCATCAGTCCAGGGACCCTCTTTCCTATTTAAAAAAAAAAAAATCTTGTCCCTTCTCTGGATTGTCCCCTTTGACCCGCTGGGAGTCATAGCTTATCTATTCTCTGAAGAGGGGGAAAGGTGTGACAGCTGGGATTGGCTCCCAGCTGCAGACTGGCTAGCGCAATACCCTCTCCATTCACTCCTCATTCACTGCCCCCAGTGGAAATCTGACAGGAGGCTACAGAGAAAGTAATGCTCAGAAAGCCAAAACACCCTTTTTACTTTTATTTTGCCAAGACAGCATGATGAGAGAGAAAGAACATTGGGGTAGGAACAGGCACACGTGGGTTCCAGAACAGGCCACGGGACTGACTTTAAGCAAGTTACTTGATATCTGAGGGTCTAAGTTTCTTCGTCTGTAAAACTGGGACAAGATGACCTCCCTGATGGTGTTGGAAGGACTACACAGACTAATCATTATGACAGTTAACGTTTATTGGCTGCTTACTCTGCACCAAAGACTGCTCTAGATTCTTTACATGTACAAACTTACCACAATTTCCCAACAAACCTGTGAGGTAATAAAGGTTGTTTTAAAAAAGAAAAAGCTCCTATTATAAAAATGGTCATGTGAAAAGTAGAAAGAGAGGCAAAATGAAAATCCATATTCCCACAACCTAAATCCAACATTTGCTTTTGACCATATTTATTTTCTTTCTTTTACTTAGGCATTTTAAAGCAAATACTTCAGCATAAATCTCCAAAAAAAAAAAAAAAAAAGGGGGTAGATTGTTCCATATCACCACAATAGCATTGCCACACCTAGAAAATTGATAAAATAATTATCTAAAATCATCAAATACTTCATATTAAAAATGTTAGAGTTATCCCTAAAATATTTTGTATAACTGGTGTGTTCAAGTCACACTAATGAGTTCAAGCTGGTGTGTATAAACTCCACATTTTACAAATTCAGGAACGAAGGCAGCAAGTCACACACAGCTAGTCACTAGAAGAGCTGGAATTTGAACAGACACTCCAGCTGTAGAGCTTCTTTCTTGATAGTACGCACAATGAATGCACCTAACACAATACCTGCCCTGGCAGGGCATCTTTCTCCGTCCCCCATTCTCCCACATTCTCCTTCTCCTTCCCAGTACTTGTTAGCATTGGCTCCCCTTTTCACCCCAGTCCCTGTGGTACCTCTCATCTTTCCCCTTCTCCAGCCTCAGTCTTGGCTGTTTCCAGAAGTGTCCTCACCTAACCCTGGTGCAAAGAAAGTCTGGAAGGATGGGAGCTGCCGATCCCACTGGTATTGGGCAGCGGGCTTACTCCTCGGGGACTGGCAGCTCAGAGTCACGTTGGCCCCCACACGAGGCACACCCAGGAGATGGCAGGATGGAGGAGCTGGAGGAACTGGGGAAGGGGAGACTGATTAAAACCACACCAGGAGACCCACTGATCCTCTCCCTCTTCCCCACACCCTTCTGTCGCTCCATTTGTCCCTCCCCTAACTCTTTCCCTCAGCCATTTAGGAGAGAGACCTGCCAGACCTCCCGGTGGGGGTGGGGAGGGGTCCGGAAGTCTGTGCTTCTCACTCACCCAGTACATTGAGGTCTAAGGTTTTGATGCTGTGGCCCCTATTGGTGCCTTCTTTGTCTTGCACATTCACAGAACAGCTGTAGGGGCCAGAGTCTTTCTCCTGGAGACCCTGTAGCCGCAGGGATACATTCCGGGAGGGCATAGAGTAGACCAGGGATACTCCAGGTTTGCTTGTTGTGGCCCCATTGATGTAGGCCAACACCTGGTATGGGGCATAACACATCCCCGTTATTACTTCATGTATATACTGTACCGCAGGCTCAGCCAATCTCCCTCCCCCAACTGGCGTTCTCCAAATGCCCCTCACGTGCACCCATTCTTCTAACCTGAACCAGCTCCCCATGCACCTTTTGTCCCTAGTCCCCTCTTGCTGCCCCGGGGTCCTCTTCACCAGAACCGTTCTTGGTTCCTGTGCACTGTCTCATCTCCCAGTTGCGGTGTTTAGAAAGGTGACATGACAGTGGGAGTAGGGACAATGTAGGTAGGAGGTATGGATGCAAGCAACTCAGACTGCTGGGGTAGATCCAGGTTTGCAAGACCTGAAACTTACACAATAGGGGAGGAATCTTCGAGGAAAAAATATTTAAAACATTTTTTTTAAGTGTCAAATGAGGCTGGGCATGTTAGAGCACGCCTGTGAGCACTTCGGGAGGCCGAGGCAGGTGGATTGCTTGAGTCCAAGAGTTTGAGACCAGCCTCGGCAACATGGTGAAACACAGTCTCTACAAAAAATACAAAAATTAGGCTGGCATGGTGGCGTGTGCTTGCAGTCCCAGCTACTGAGGGGACTGAGGTGGAAGGATTACTTGAGTGGGGGAGGTAGAGGCTGCAGTGAGCCAAGATTGCACCATTACACTCCAGCCTGGGCAACAGAATGAGACACCGTTTCAACAAAACCCAAACGTCTTCCTTGAACAGTTTTCAGTGGCTCCTAAACATTGTTTCATTCTCTTCTGGGTAAATCTCTATTTGGATGGATGGGAGATTGTGGGAGGAGATGGCCCCTTGGCTCTCAAGGTGGTATAAAGGGACAAGGTGACAGATAAGGATCATTTGGGAAGAGAATTGGCCTGTGACTCAACAGTATTCAAAGCAGAGAATGTGAAAACAGAAATATGCTTTTTTTTTTTTTTTTTTGACAGAGTCTCACTCTGTCACCCAGGTAGACAGTGGCTCGATTTTGGCTTGCTGTAGCCTCTGCCTTGTGGGTTCAAGTGATTCTCCTTCCTCAGCCTCCCAAGTAGCTGGGATTACAGGTGTACACCACCATACCCGGCTAATTTTTGTATTTTTAGTAGAGATGGGTTTTTACCATGTTGGCCAGGCTGGTCTCCAACTCTTGGCCTCAAGTGATCTGCCTTTCTCAGGCTCCCAAAGTGCTGAGTTTAAAAGTATGAGCCACCACGTTCGGCCAGAAATATGCTAACTTTTACAAGTCGTGTATGTTACTTCCCCTAAGCTTTTCTCAGCCCTTAACTTCCATTCTTCCTCTCCTCCTTTTTCCTCCATAACCAAGTAAAATGCCTCTCCACTTTTACGGTGTTTTGTGTCCTGGAATTTTAGGAAAAGTTGGGCAAAAGATAACTGGGAAGTCCCCAATATCAGAACAAAAACTGAA